TCTTACTTCACCCATAAGCACTATAAGAAATGGGTTGAGGCCCAGAGTTGTCCACACTCTGTAAACCCTCCTACTATGAAAAAGCAAAGAAAAAGAAAACCGAACTCTTCTAATGTTGACGACCCCCGTAAGCGTATAAAGGACCATAATCTGCGAATTTGCAGTTTTCGCTTTGGCAGATATACTCATATAAGTAAATCAGATTGCGCAGTGTATAGTAGCTGTCATGCAGTGTATTGTAGCTGCGGCAATCCATTAGAAGATCGAATTGCAATAATCCGTATAAAAGCGAAGTTCTAAGCCAGTCTAATTTGTGCCAATCCTCCGACGGAAGACAAAGAATAACAGACCAAAGACATATTTTACGAGCGCGTAGAAGCAGCATATGACCGAGCCCTACCCATAATATTAAAATTCTGCTGGGAGATTTTAATGCAAAAATCGGAAGGGAAAATATGTTTGGCAACACCGTCGGAAAATTCAGCCTCCTGTTAGAAGAAATCACTCCTTGTTCCGATAATAATATAGAAGCACAAAGAAAAGAATTGCCCATTCCCTACAAACTGCTGGAAGAGCAACACTTGGATACCAAAGTCCACCATCAAGAAACCAGATACATGCTCACGAGTGTCATAATGCTATTGATGTGAAAAACGTAGCGTATAAGTTAACCCTACAGACAGTATTAACACGCAATGCGATGGAGAATTGTCGGAGGAAAAGGAGAGATGAGAAACGTAGAAGAAAGAACAAGAAAATGAGTCAGAATAAAGTCCGGAAATTTTACGAACGAAAAACGTAAGCGGGAGCAAATCGAGATATACAGCAGTCAGGCTTTGGTGCAGGCACATCCTCCTGTAGTGATGAACATGGAAACCTGGCGTGTTGAGGATCTGGAGGGAGTATTTAGCGAAACTTCTGGTAGCAAATAGTGGCAGTGAAGGAGATACCGCAGAACCAATAAGAGATGACGGTATATATTGCATACCACCTAGTCAAGATGAGGTCAAAATAGCAATTAATCGGATGAAGAATAATAAAGCAGGTGCCGATGGAATACCAACCGAACACCAACTGATTAGTACAATTTGGAGGAATAAGTCTCCTTTCCTCCGCATATAAATTGCTATCAGGCGTTCTGTGTGAATGACTGAGGGCAATGGTCAATGACGTTATTGGACCATACCCATGCGGCCTGGCCTGGCAAAATCCACAATTGACCAGATTTTTACTTTGGGCCAAAAACAATAAAAACGCCCACGAAAAACACATTTCACCTTGTCGTCGACTATAAAGCCGTATTCGGCATGACCTGTCCGTTCAGAGGTGTTCAAAGCCATGTCTGCGTTCCGCATTACTGGAACATTAATACGGCTATGCAGGATAACTTTAACTGGCACAAAGTCAGCAGTTAAATTGATGAGAATGGATAAGGATGCCGCAGGCCAAAAGGTATATAAAAACCAACCAACTGGTTCAAGTGGAAGACAACATCTCGGAACATGGTATTTCAAATTGAAAGAGCTGCGCACAAGACCGACGCGCCTTGAAATCTTTTTTAAGCCCGGCTAATGGACCAAAGGTTCTGTCTCAAGCGAAGGAAGTATGTAGTCCTATCTTATTTTATTATTAATAGTTCTATAAAATGTTAATAGTGTATACATATGGACAGACTTCCACTGGTAAATATATCGAGATATCATACAGAAGTCGAGTTAAATTTTACTCTCTTTTGATTTATTAAAAATTTGTGTAACATAATCACTTGTAGTTATATCTTCAGTATTTCGCAGTACTTGTATTTCTCATACAATATTATAATTCGTAATTAAAGATTTTATTTTTTAGAACTCAGCATATCTAGTGAAAATTCATCTAAATGAAATTAATAATTAAAGTGAAATTAGAACTTACTATTAATTGTCAAGCTCCACAAATTTAATTTTTAATCAGAAAAAGGCGGAGAAAACTGCATTCAACAATCATTGCGTACATGTTTACCATAGTAATAAACTACTACTACTAATAATAGTAGTAACTTGCATCAATGAAATCTACTACTACATACGATGCGTCGTACTATCGTGATTATGTCTTATTGAATCACATCATTTGTTGTAGTAGTACCTTATAAATACAACAACTGTTGTCACATCATTTGTGGCTGGTTCTAAACCAGTTACCACTCTATGAAAATACGATAAAATAGTTTAACCCAGAAATAAATGTAAGAAATTCTCGCACAGCACATAGATATTTTCCATCTGTAATGAAGTGGTTTACTTTCAAATGATAGTTGTGTCGACATTGCATTTCTACTTTTATTTTTTTCGTTTGTTTGTTGGTTTTTTTCTCCTCCATACAATCACTAGACCAAGGATTTTTGCTGTAAATCAAGTTAATAACATTTAAAGACGCCTTGAAGTTATTATTTTCTTTCTTTCGCCGCAACAGCCTTCATGTGGTATGTGTTCATGGTTTTACATTACTTTATGCAACATGCAATTTTTGCATCAAACAACATTGGCAGTCAACCAACCAGCCAGCCAACCATCTAACACTACTACGGCCATGTCCATTGCTCCAGCAATCGAAATGTTTTATGTTTGTCCATTGCATTGCATGCTGCGTTAGAGTAGATGAAATTGAGAAGAAAAAAAGAAAAATCTTTTTTTCTTTCGTTCAGTCAATTGAAAACGATACCCCCTTTACTATGGTTTGCATTTGCGGCGGCGTAATTTATACTTCAGAGAAATGGAAGTTGATGAAAGAACAGTGTTTTGTGTGAAATGCAGTTATGTTAATTATATTATGAGATTTGAATTTATTAAATTGTAAATGGGCTTTTTAATAATTTGAAAAATAAATTCTTTGCTACCACAATATTTTATAATTTAGGGATATATATAAGAATAACAGCATTTATTTTTTATTTAAAACTCAAGAATTAGACAAGGCTTTCCTACATATAGGTACATTTTGCAGGGAGATCAACATTTGTGTCTATTTTTGATAAGGCTAGAATTTTGAAATTTCGTACTATAGGGTACGTGAAGTACTAATGTATAACATTAGTTGTAGGTCAACGGTTAGGCCTAGAATTCTAATGTTTTGAATTAGATTCAATATTATTGAACAAAGAGAAAATTCGGTACATTTTACAGTTTTCTTTGGCATAGGCGAAAATGCAAGCCAAGCGGCTATAATTGTGAATAGTGTTTATGGTTCCATATAGATTCCGTTTAGGAATTTTTGATGTTAAAGATGCACCTAGCACAGGTAGGTCGGTCGTCGAAAATGTCGATAGAATCAGAGAAATGGTCGAAGTTGGCCGGCATGTTAGCAGTCGTTACATCGCCCAGAAGCTAAAAATCTATCATAAAACTGTTTAAACCACTTACAATTGACCAAAATAGCCCAATTTATTTTTTGCAAATAGTGAGTAGGTGAGAGAGAGAGATAATCCAAAATAAGAAACTATTTTACATACCGATATTATGTAGGTACCGTTATATGAGCACTACCCTAAAAATGGGGCAAATATTGATAATTTTTAGTAACCAGTTAGAACCCAAAATATAAAATTACAGCTTATTAGGTTGAAGAATACCAAACAACCTAGGAGTAATTTTAAATCTCTATCTTCAATATTGCTATCTTGATTTCAACATGCAGACATGGCTAAGTCGACTATGAATATTTCGAGGTTTTGCAAACTAAATGATGAAAATTTCATTTTATTAATTTTTAGCACTTTTTTATATTTTTTTAATTTTTTAGAACTTTGTAGCATTTTTTCAATAAAATCTAGCACTTTTCCTCAATAAAGTTGTGGGAGATACCTGGAGGAGTGGAACGATTTGGGTGAATAAATTTATGATGTGTAAAATTTGCACCAAATACCCAGAAAGTTTTCAATGTAGGTGTTAATTTTGGTACGTTGTTCCGAGTAGTGTTTTCCAACTTCAGTGTACTTCTGGTGTTCGTTTTCCTACATATACAATCAGCTTGCAGATAATTTACAATGGCCTATGTAAGGTCACAAAAGTCACACACATACAGTAACACCTATGAAAGCTCCATCCACTTTATCAACGACGAAAACATTGACTTTTAACGGCGACTTCTATTGTAGCATAATTATTATTCACGCAAATATAAGTATTTCAGTTTCATCCATTGAGGGTGGCCTGCCATTGCATAGGCGTGTGTTGTGTTAGCTCATACGATCATTCACAATGGTGGCTACCCATTGTGGCGACTACATAAATACATATACACTGAGCCTTCGACTTACTGGTCCACACAGAGACTTCGGCCTAATGTTCAATACAGAGGCTTCGACTTACTTTCAACTGAAAATAGAAAACAAAAAAATGTTTAACATCTTAGTTTGACAAACCCTGTTTTTTTCGGTCGACTTTGCTGAGATCGACACTGCTACTTTAGGTGGGTATAATAAAATATATACCTTGGGCTTATACTTCGAAATTTTATAAATTTCTACCACATTTTATACCTTGGAAAACACTGTCCCATTCGAAAAGCCAACAACACTCTAACACTTCAAGAAAAATGTGTAAAAATGCAATGGAAAATAGATATTAACGCAACTAAATTATATTTAATCATAATAATGTTCAAATAAAGCAACAATAGAAGCATACTATTGCAACTGCACTTTAGTTATCAGATACAAATTGTTTTAGTTTTTTGTGTGGCTGCCTCTGTGTGGCAGAGACAATAAAACTGACTTGCAACATTGCCAAGATAATTAGTCGACATTGAACAGCCAACACTAAGCTCAAACATTGGAGTTGTAAGTGATATGCGTTCGCGTTTCCACCCCACAGCTGGACACCAACGTCCAGGACATTTTATGTGAAAAACGAAAACAGAAAAAAAATAAAATACAATTCATTATTTAACAGCAAAAAGTCCTTAAGTGATAAATAATAAAAAAAAACTACACACAAAAATTAACAAGCCAAAATATAAAAATGGCTTTTCATCGCCTGCCAACAATATCAGTGTTAGTGAGCATATTATGTTTACTCATCATACCTGCAATACAAGCGGAAATACGCAGTCGCCCCTCAAAAAGTGTTAGTGCAAAAAGTAATAGCATTCACGATGGCCATAACACACATAAATCGACGAGCAATAATCCAGCTGATGATGATAGCGCATCGAGTACGTCCAAGACAGGTTTTGCAGCATCCTCACAGCCGCGACCAGTAAATACGGATTTCGTCGATAAAATGTCTTGGAAATGTGCCAACAATGCCAGTTGTCTGTACAACATGGCCAGCGGTATTATCAATTCTTATCGTCGTGGTGAGACAGTCCATTTGGGATTCTTAGATTTGGTTAAATTGCCACCGTCCAAGAAGACCAAATCGAAATGGAATGCGACGGAAACCGGTCGTAGCATATCCACATTTGTTGATTTTATTAGTGGTAATGCTATACGGATACCGGTTGGTCCCATGGTCTTCAGTGTGCAACGTGATGAGGATGATGCCAACTACATTGAAATTGCTCTGCTAAAGAAGGCGACCAGTAGTTCAGGTATATTGTTGATTGTCTGTTTATTGGATGAAAAAGTAGAACAAGAAATTATGTGAAAAGTGTTACACTTTCATATGTAGACAAATGACAAGAGAAGAAGAAGAAAAACAGGAAATACGAAGTTAGTAAAGAATTCCACAGAGGGGATAATATGAATGTTTGTGCACATACACACAAATTAATTAAATTTGTTGTGATCCTTACTTGTTTAATATTAAAGCTAGTAAAAGAGGGAAATACCAAAATCTTAGAAGGCTACATTCTCGAATTCTTCGACAACCTATACCAACCATTACTGATATTAGTTGATTGATTGATTTACCAGCCCATTGAAAATCTTGAAAAATTAAAATCGAGAATGGGTGGGGTTCCCTTAAATGGAATTAAAAAGTAGAACTAGAACAAAAAACATTTTAATAGAAAATGTTTCCATGTCAAGAGTACCATACAAATCTCCATTCCTAGCAGTGTTGCCAAAACTTTGTTAAGAAAAAATTCTAGATTTTGTTTCAAAAATACGCTTGAAAGTGCTAAACATTTTAAAAAACTGCTAAAAATTAATAAAAAATCATTATACCCTCCTGCACAAGGATCCCCATTTACATAAAATCGAACGACAATATAATATATATGGTAGTTAAATCGGAACCGATTTTCACGAAACTAAGCACACACCATTCCAGACTCAATTCAGTACGCTATGCTATTCTGATGTTTTTATCTCCTGTTCTGTTACTGAAAAATTGTTTTCTCTTGTTCTTCGAGAATAAACACTATTCTGTTCGTATTATAAAATAGCACCCATTTAAAGGCCCCGACCAATTATTACCATTTCTCCTTACATACAACACTCAATATTGCTTTATTTTTTTTTTATTTTCAAGGTCATAACCACATTTTCCAACCTAATGGCTTTTATTTGCCATGGAAATGGAGCCAACATTTATTATTTTTGTAAGGAAATTTATTATTCGATAATAATCCAAAATATCAAATTAAAGCCCATTTGATTACGAAATATTGGGGCTTAACCAAGAGGTTGTCCGATATATCCCGTTTTCAATACCACACATCCTAGGAGTAGTAGCTCTATCTTCAATATTATTCCAACGTGAATTCAAACATTATTAAAATTGGAAAAAATCGTTCCCGTTTGATATTAGTTTGGAGAGAAATAAATCCATAATTTTTATATGACCTATAGGACTTTATTCAAAACGATTTGGAATATCCGATATGGACCGTTTTGTTGTATGAGTTGTTGTCATTTTAAAAATAACTTCATAATGCCTCTCTCATAGGAGTGCTGCTCTCAATTTGCAAAAAAAAAAAAAAAAAATTAGTAACCGATTTTCACAATCATCCCTAGATACCAATTTTTTAACATTAAAGACATTTGGAATGCAAGAAAAATATGATAATCGCTTGGTGCCAAGTCCGGACTGTATGGCGGATACATTTAACTTCCCATTCACAATTTTAGCCACTTGACTTGCATTTTCGCCTTTGTAAAAACTGTAAAATGTACCATTTTTAAAACCCTGTAGCTCAAAACTGAATGCATGAATGAAAAAAAACAGCAATATAATTTTTTACTGCGAAATGTCACCCTTGCAACGAAATTGTTTGATCGATAGTTTATGAGAAATCTATCAGTACAGCCATCTGCCGAAAAAATAATGGATTTCCTTTTCCCCAAACCTAATATAAATGGTGCACAAAACGCCCATGTTTGTCCAATTGAGTTTAGTTCGGCATTGAGTTTAGATTGGCATGTGTTTAGTTGAAATCGCTTCAGATTTATATATAAATTCAATATATATTTTCGTCAGATTTTATGTAAGCGATTCACCAAATACCCACTACTGTTGTTCGATTTAAATGAAGTTATGCATATCGTATTGAATTGAGTCCCTACGGTTTTAGATATATTTTCATCCGATTTGATAAAATTATGGACCAAATACCCAACGAGTGTTTGATTGAGACGGAAAGTACAGCGTACTGCAGTATGCTTTAAATCGGGTCATATTGTTCCTGTTTTCGTCCGATTTCATGTAAATCCAGTACCACATACCAATATATGTCCGATTGAGAAGAAATTTCGAACAGCACGCTTTGCTGCATTTCAATTATCAATAATTGCGACCTTTAATAAAAATCTATTTATTTTCCGTAATCTATTTCGTACCTTTTTAATTTCGTACTTTTTAATAACAATAATAATATACACGAATTAGATCTACATATTCATGTTTATTATACCCTTCACCACACTGTGGTACAGGGTATTATGTCTTTGTGCATATGTTTGTAACAGGCAAAAGCAAACGATATAGACCCATGGTTCCTTTTGAGAATATGCATAGAATCACTTTTTAAGTCGATTTAAGCATGTCCGTCTGTCTGTCTGTCTGTCTGTCTGTCCATGTATTTTTGTGAGCAAAGTACAGATCGCATTTATGATCCGAATTGGATGAAATTTGGCACAGCTCATTTGTTTGGCCCAAGGAGTAAATGGTGTACCAAAGTCCCTATAGATCTATCGATTTGCAAGAAATTTGGTATAACGCACTGAATTGGGCCTAGAGTGATGTCTGTCAAATTTTGTAAAAATCGGTCCAGATTTAGATATAGCTCCCATATATAGTTTCGTCCGATTTCATGTAAATGGTGCACCAAAGTCCCTATATATCTTTCGATTTGCACGAAATTTGGCATAACGTACTGAATTGAGCCTGGAGTGATGTCTGCCAAGTTTCGTGAAAATCGGTCCAGATTTAGATATAGCTCCCATATATAGTTTCGTCCGATTTCATGTAAATTGAGCACCAAAGTCATTATATATCTTTCGATTTGCACGAAATTTGGCATAACGTACTGAATTGAGTCTAGAGTGATGTCTGCCAAGTTTCGTGAAAATCGGTCCAGATTTAGATATAGCTCCCATATATAGTTTCGTCCGATTTCATGTAAATTGAGCACCAAAGTCCCTATATATCTTTCGATTTGCACGAAATTTGGCATAACGTACTGAATTGAGTCTAGAGTGATGTCCAGATTTAGTCCAGATTTAGATATAGCTCCCATATACAGTTTCGTCCGATTTCATGCAAATGGTGCACCAAAGTCCCATATATCTTTCGATTTGCACGAGATTTGGCATAACGTACTGAATTGATGCTGGAATGATGTGTGCTGAGTTTCGTGAAAATCGATTCAGATCTAGATATATATATATTTTCGTCCGATTTAATATAAATAAGGTACCAAGTTCTTATGTTGCATAGCGTTTTGAGTTCAATCCAGAATATTGTGTGCCAAGTTTAGTGAAAATCGGTTGAGATTTAGATATAGCTCCCTTATATTATATATTGATTTTA